TCTCTCTCTCTCTCTCTCTCTCTCTCTCTCTCCTACTCTGTATGTCTGTCTGTCTCTCTCTCTCTCTTTTTCACCCGCACATAATACGCAACTATTAACCCTTTATCTCCTATTGACAACCCCTCTCCCTACCTTCCTTCTGGTCCACAGGCGTACCTTGTGTACAAGTACCACGGTAAGGGCGCCGAACAGACCAACTCCACCACGCTTAGCCGGAGCTCTAAGTACATCATGGGGCCACGCCCACCTAGCATGACGTCAACAGCAGTTACCAAGAATGGATATGAGGAGAGGGAGGAGGAGGGAGAGGGGGAGTGTGAGAGCTTCCTAGAGAAAGACATACAGGTAGGTTTGTTTGTGTGAGAGATAGATAGATAGATAGAGAGAGAGAGAGAGAGAGAGAGAGAGAGAGAGAGACCGAGAGAGAGAGAGAGAGAGAGAGTGGGTGAGAGAGAGAGAGAGATGAGTGGGAGTTTGAAAGCTTCCTGGAGAAAATCATTACGATATGCAGCTGTTCAACAGATAGTGAATTGATTGTATTGATTGTGAACTGACAATAAAATCCTATTGATTGTCAATCGGGAAGCATGCCAGTTTGTCACAGGCCCAGTTTGTCACACACCCAGTATGTCGCATGATGAAAGCTATCACTGACACTCTCAAAAAGAGTAAATGAATGATTGATTGATTGTATAAATTGAATTTTATTTTTCAATTGTTTTAAACGAAAAAAGAATCGTTGTTGAAATTTTACAGAGTGATTTCCTTTAATTTGCGTACAAAAAAGAAGAAATATTGAACAACACAAGATTAATTGACATCTCTACACCACCAATTTGAAGGTGGAGAATAAAAAAACTTAAGTTACAACTCAGTTTTAAAGTGCTGTAATTATGACTGTCTTCAATGAGACGTACACTCCCGGAAAATGTTCTAAACAAATTACTTTTATTCAATTTTATGTAATTGTGCAAGAAGTCCATAGGTAAATAGGATGTACTAGGGGTGAATTTGTTGAATTTTTCAGAAAAATGGGTCTCTGTGGCGGCCATCTTGGATTTTCAAACCAATTTCTTAGTGCAGAAGAATTTCATAGTAAATATTGAATATCAGCCTGAAATTTG